GCTGCACTTTGCGGGCACTTGTACTCACCGAAACAGCGATTCTTTGCCTGTACGGCGTCAGTCTCTCCTTTTGGCGTGTCGCCTGGAAGCAGAGTTTCGCACGTCAGGGTACGGAAAATTTTTGGGATTCCGAGAAATTAAATGTGGTTCCCCGCAGTCTTTAATCGCCACCGATCACAGAAAATGCCAAGAAATTTGTGAGTTAAGATCATGCGCAAAATGCTATTATTGGATTTTGTTAATTAGGATCATGCGTAATGTTATTACGGTTCATTACAAATCATAGAACACATATAAATCATGGCAGCATTATTATCCAGTCCATTAAATAATGGCAAAACTCATTACTGGACCCTTTAAAATTCAGAGCAAAATATTATTGAGGTTTGTTAACTCCCACCGGTGCCTTGCCGACGAATCTGCTCGGACTGGTGGCCGTATATACGGCGCCTACAGGATATCTTTGCTACGCTGTTTACATATAAGAACAGTTTTTACCGGGGTATCAAATCAGGGCAGTCGCGACAGTAAATCGGGCAGTATTTGAGTTCAGGGACTCCGTTAATTTCGCACCCTGGAACTTTGCTGCTGGTTTAATACATAAGAACAGTTTACTACGGGCCTACGTTCCACTTGCCACGAGAGAAGGGGGAAAATTTCGATCCTCATTGTTCAAATGTTGGATCGCTGATCGATAAGTTTACTGTATTACAGGCCTGCTACGCTAGAAAAAACAGGCGACCCTCTCTCTCCGCCTCTCTATTTCTCTCTCTCTCGCACGCTACAGCCGCGCCCACGTCACTCACTCATTCTAGAGCAGCAGCTTCCCAAACTTTTCCGTACGCTGACCCCTTCATAGTACCGAACCTACCGATGACCCCCCCCATCTTAAGGGGGCGGGCACTGTCGCGCCGCTACGTGGAGGAGGTCCCGTGAAGCAGCCGAATCAAGTGTGCACGGGAAGCGAGGGAAGGGGAGGAGACGGTGGGAGGAGGGAGAAAGGGAGGAAGGGGCTACACTGCCTGCCCGGCGATGACGCGGAACGGACTGTCGCCGCCGCTAACGTGGAGGAGGCCCGTGAAGGCCAGCGATCAAGCTGCTGGGAGGAGGCGAGGGAGGGGAGAGAGGGATGGAGGTGAGTTAGGGAAGGAAGGAGGCAGCGGAGTTATGGACGGTAGGGAGAGAAGGATGGAGGGAGGGACGGAGATAGGAGGAGGGTGGGAGGTTGCGGAGGAGCTACACGGCCCACACGCGCGATGACGGGGCGCCGGACTGTCGCGACGCTACGGGCAGGTCTTGAGGCAGCGATTCAAGGTGCGCAGAGGAGGGAGAGGGAAGCCGAACTGCCCCGGTTATACCAGAACGACCCTGGTAACTATCTGATTATGGGGAAGATTAATTTTAAGGTTAGGGTTGGATTAGTGTTAGTGTTAGGGTTAGGGTTAGAAGTAGGCGTAGGCGACTCCCGTAGACTCGGTTAGTGCGATAGGCGACGGTACGGTCCACATATTAGACGTACCAGCAGGGCGGTTACACGATTCACCCAAATCCACCAAATCCACCCAAATCCACCAATCCACCAAATCACCCCAAAATCACAAATCACCCCAAATCACCAAATCCCACCCATAAATCACAAATCACCGCTAAAATTTACTCGACATCTATCATTTAACAAATGATAGCAAATCCACTGAAATTCAACCCAAATACTTCTGACACTATGCACAATTTACGTGAATTCAGTGCATTTCGTTAGGGTTAGGGTTAGGCGTTTGGGTTAAGGTTAGGGTTGAGGTTAACTGAATTCACTGAATTCAGTGAATTTCAGTGGATTTGCCATCATTTTGCGTAAATTGAATAGCGTGTCGAGTAAATTTCAGTTGGTTTGGGAGTGGATTTTGGTGGATTTGGGGGTGGATTTGGTGGATTTGGGGGTGGATTTGGTGGATTTTGGGGTGGATTTGGTGGATTTGGGGGGTGGATTTGGGTGAATCGTGTAACCCCCAGCAGAGCATATAAATTGGTACAAGCTAGGTACGGACGTTCCGGCAGTACCCTGGGGAACATAGACCCTCTCAGCAATACTGAGTGTACTCTGTAGTAAGTTTGAACTTTATTTGCGGCATTATAGTATTAGTAATATAGGCTGTATTTTATTATAATAAATCTACTTAAAATCAAATGATATATATTCAAGAGTGAGATATTCTAATATTACTGTGGAACAATCTTTTAAATTGGAATAAATTTCAATAATTCACACAGCGGAATTTGGTTGTTGACTAGTTCAGTTGTTTGAAAAAAGTCATATATTATAATGCCAAACACCTCCAACCCAAAAAAAAATTAAGAACACTTTTTTGCAGAAATAGAAAAGACACCTCAACTATAATTCCTGAAAAAAACTAGAAAGCTAGGGCAGTTGCCGCCAACTACATGTATCCCCCGTGATATAGTATGAATGAAATATCTTTTCAACCTTCATAATCATTTCTGGTCTTTCCTGTACATCCAGCATTTCTCAATAAACATCACACAGTGCCATATGTCATAAAATACTACAAAATACTGTAGCTGCGTACACTATACCAGGGATACAAATAAGAGTCCGCAGCAAAATGAGGGAGTCCGTTTTGTAACTATCCTGATTTGAACAATCTGCGTTGATAGGATCAGGGGTTCATAATGACAGACCTTTCAATCGTAAAGACCTTAATAATTATAAGTATATAATAATGAATCATAGTAATAAATAATTACACACCTGCATAATGATCCACACCTCATAGGATAAAACTATAGGAAGAGGGAGCTACCGGTTTTGGTTTTACTTTCGTTCGGTCGGCATATGTTTCCATGAAATGAAACAGAGTATCCGCGTGACGTCAGTGTACGTCACGCACGAACTCGGTTATCTCCGGAGTTGAATGCATACAGCCTGCTGATGGTGCTGGTGATTGCGCATGGTCATATTCCATACTACGCATATCAACTTCCGCATCAGACTTTCCGTATATCAAGGAATGATGCAAAAACCCTAACCCCAACCCTTATTTGTGTGTGTGTGTGTGCGTGTGTGTGTGGTAATTCCTCATATCTTCCTTTCTCTCCTATTTGGGTGCCGGTGAATCAGGGAGGACGCTGCGGTAACAGCTACATGGACCATATGGGAGCACCGCCTTTTCACAGGCCGCGCCGTACGATCGACTTTTGCTGTCGGAGTTCATACCGAGGAGGCCGAAAAAGTGAGCCGTGAGTGTCGACTAGTAAGTAATGGTGTCTTTTCTCGTGTGTGTAAATGGGCGGCAGGTTGTCTGGCTTGGAGGGATGGACAAGTGAAGGCAGTATCTTGATACGGATTGTATCAAGAGCATATAAAGAAGGTTATATTATCTTTATATGCTTTTTATATGCTTATATACCTTCTTTATATCCTCTTGATTGTATCATGAAGGCTGTATCGTGATACGGATTGTATCGTGAAGGCTGTATCGTGATACGGATTGTATCATGAAGGCTGTATTTGTGATACGGATTGTATCGTGAAGGCTGTATTTGTGATACGGATCGTATCGTGAAGGCTGTATCGTGATACGGATTGTATCGTGAAGGCTGTATCATGATACGGATTGTATCGTGAAGGCTGTATCGTGATACGGATTGTATCGTGAAGGCTGTATCGTCATACAGATTGTATCGTGAGCTACCCGTGTCTTCCCACGCCTATCTCTAACGACCGCGTGTCTTTGATTTGCTTGCAGTTTGAGAGATCGGTCGACGACTTTCTACGCAGAACTAAAGCGTCACAGGGAATGAGTCATAGCAGCAACCGACGCTACCGCGACCACTGGTGAAACGGCTGTTCTTGTGTTTCCTTTGGTCACTTCGTCGACGGCGCATCGCGACGGTTGGTGGAAAGGCAAGGACGGATGCGATGCAACCATATATATACCAATTCTTAACGCGGTGGACGCGCGTAGAGTATTTTAAATATTTCATTGATTTTGTCCGTTTTGAAGAGGAGAACGAATGGGACGTTAGCGTTGCGACATTCGTTTAACTTTTTTGTCGTTTTTCTTTCGTTCTTTTTTAAAAATTTTGTTTTGCTGCATTGGAAGCTCGCGTGCCATCGCGCGATCCGAGCGTGTACACATTAATATTATGTAATTTTATAGCAAGCGTGTGGACATCCAGAATTCTCACTATGCGTACGTGTGCTTATGTAGGGAAGTGTATAGCNACTTATATCTTCCATTCTTAATTAATTCTTCTGGATCGAATTCTTCCACCTCTCCAACACATACTCCTCCTATGATGCAACTTATGATGCTTAGCCACTGGTCACTATAATAACTTTAATAATAATAAAGATTTTATTATAGAGATCAGTGTGCTTAGGGAGTGTCTATATTCAAGCCGGTACGGGGAGATTACGGTACGCATATATTTGCTAATATATTGACTAATCATGCGTCAATAAACTCAATATTCACAGAGAGTATAGCTAATTTAAGACATGTGTCTATAGGTATCTAGAATATATTATGCAAATGATCTCCCGTACCGGCTTGAATTCATACTCTGTGAATAGTGAGTTTTATTGACCACGATTAGTCCAATATAGCAAATATAAATATTCTATATGCGCACGGGAAGTGAATTACAATGATTGAAATTTCTAAAAATCTAGATACCTATAGAACACATGTCTTAGCTATTCTCTCTGTGAATATTGAGTTTATTGGCGCACGATTAGTCAATATATTTGCAAAATCTATGCGTACCGTAA